CACAGATCCGGCTTTGAAACTGAATCCATGTACTCTTAAGAATTGGTTGCGAAAGTGGACCCAGCCGTCAGGTCAGCATACACAACGGAGGGGGGCCGGAGGAATGGACTAAGAATGATTCGAGCAATACGTTGCATGCTAGATATTAGGTCGCAATACATGTACGAAGGAAATTTTAGTAGCACCGACACCATTTAAGCGGAAATGCTCAAACGGGGCTCCTAAACCTTAACTGAAATAAAAATGGCGATTCTGATTTGGCTCTGAAGCATCAAGACAGATTCATCGAGGACAAGAAGTATAGGGAGCAACAGTGAAAATATGAAAGCTAGAGACAACCTGACTGTTTGGAGGCATTCAGCAGGAAAGATACCAGACAGAGTAGGATCAAGTGGGAGAAGCAGGATAGTTCAAGTGAAGAAACCAGGGTATACGACGGACATTTTAGTATTCTTGCACTAGTTTGCGAAAGTGAGTTAGAGTCTCCCCGGGAACATTCTTTTAGAAACGGATGCTACCAGATTTTTCAAATATTCAGCCTTTGGAGACTCTTGCATGTTTATGTGTAAACTCATATCTTCCCGTTCCATCTTAAAGTTCACGCCGGAACCGCCTATTGAGACCCCCTGTGTCCCCAGATTAATGATACTCTTGGTCCTTCGTAGAAAATCGGCCCCCAACACGATGGCAACCGGAAGGTTCTTGTGGTAATCCGGATGGTATTGAATTTGGCAATACGAGAATCCATACTGTATTGATCAGAACTGAATTGGCTCCAACCGGAACTGCGGACACCGATGAAATACACGATTAATCAATAGCTGCAAATGCTTATGTTTATTGATGGAATTAGATCATGTTTTATAGAATGTAATAGTCCATATGATTGGTTGAACGAGCATCCTCTAATCACGTTACCGTCTGCACCGACGTATCATATGTGCTGACTCGGATGTCATGTTCGCCCGGTGCACCATTGGTCGAGCTTCCTGAACGGTGTTTGGATGATATGAAACTGTACCTAGTCGTGCATGGATTGCGGTCACGGAAGTCTGGATCACTACAGTTCTCTACAACCGTGAATTGGTGGTTAACTTTCTGTTTGCCTACTCGCAACGTCAAATCCACCCTCTCGTGCACGGTTAGCGGTGAACCATTTACTGCGACCAAAGGAGTCTCCTTCGAGTGGTTGGCCTTGGACTTCTAAACATTCTAAACATTGTTACTTATCAAACTGCGGACCGACCCGGAATCTAACAAGCAATCAACTTCTTTGCCCTCCACCTTTACCTCAACAAAGAGTAATCCCGCGTCCATACTCATAACAGTGAAATTATTGGCATTAACAACTTGTGGTATGGACTTACTCGGTCCTCCTCGCTCCCCACAAAATCGCGAGGTATGTCCGATTTGACGACACATGTAACATGTGGGTACCATTGGGGGTTTCCTTTTGTCATTTTCTCTGGGTGGTGCTCTCCCTGCCTGTCGGAAACTCCTTGAGGTCGCTTTACCTGGTGCCCGTTCCAGTCCAGGATCTCGGCAATTGACTCTGCGGCGGTAAGGTCTTTTGGTGGCCGTAATTTAGTTCATCTTTGGCTCTGGGTTCACGGAGCCCAGCCAGAAACCGACCCAGAATAGAACCGACCCCATATAGTCCATTAGACTTTCCTCATGTCGTTGCTGTCGCATGTTAAACTCCTCCCGATATTCGAATGCCGTTTTAGGTCCTACCAGTCTCCGCCTCAGGGTCACCAGAAGGCTATCCACATCGTAATTCTCCGGGGCCATGAGCGGTGGGATCCATTCATAAGACAACGCGGTCTCCATCTTTACCTCCACTTCTGCGAACGGCCCGAACACCTGGGGGAATTCTTTTGCCGGACTAGAAAATTCAGACATCTTCGTGTAGGATGTTAGTCGTTTTCGGTCCCGCTGTGGGTGCCAAACTTGTAATACGCGACTAGCTGCAACGAGGAACGACATGGATCGAGTAATCAACGCCTCACGATACCACGGCACTCAGCAGAAGACAGAGGAGTGAAGAAGCGTCTGTTTTACGGGAAACAATGTGTGTATTATAAAACTATACATGAGTATATATAGGGGAAAGTTCTGGGGAAGACACAGCAGCCAATTGCGTTTCCTTGGGTCTTTCATAGGTGGTTCGGTCGGTCCTGATTGGTCTAATAAGCTCCTCAAATTTGAGGTGATTCTCTCTG